GAGAGAGAACAAACTTGTCCTTCGTCGCAGCAGTTTCACAAGCTCAAGAGCATTAGTAGTTCTCAGAAGAGCAGCATTTCTCCTGTGAAGAGGAACAGAAAAGTCGTTGGTAGATCAAAGAAGAAAGGAAAAGCTTCTTCTAAGGTGGAACAACCTGGAGGGCCAAAGCAAGCTTCAATAACTAAATTCTTCAACAAAGTTCCCTGAGATGATACTAAGGCTTTAGCAATATAAGAATCGGTTAATACTGTTTTTGTCTATGTTGGCTTCATTGAGGAAACTATATATTTATACAAGGGGAAGATTGTCACTCAGTTGCAGAGTTATCAGTTTTTGAGTCAAGTGTAGATATTTGATTGAAGTTTTTACTTTTCCAAAACTCATTATCATTGAAGATGGAAGAAAATCTTCTTTACAATATCAAAACAATTGATCCTATTATTGTTACAAGGGAAGAGAAAACAACTTTCTATCCTGAATCTGATCATGGTTTCTGCTGCAATCTACTGAATTTGAATCTCTAGCAACAGCTTCCATTGCCTTAAAACATTCTTGCTAAGTAGTGAACATCTTTAGAACACGTTGAATATTGCTTCGCGTGATCCAAGCCATGCACCGTGAACAATGCCGTCTTTCATTTCTCTTTGCCCTGAAAGTCCAAAACTTACAAGTTACTGATTCCACTCAAGATAAAAAAAGAACACAAGAAGTCAAGGAAGCAAGGAGAAGGATCAGTCTGTAATTACTTTTAACAGAAGACCAACACACAACTGAAGGGACAGTGTTGGAGAATTTATTTGCAGACAAAAGTTGACCAGATTTGATACTCCAAATGCGAGTATAGCAGTCCTCTCCTCCTGAATCAAACACCCAAAAAAAAATTCAAATCATCTCACTGAAAGCAAACTCTTGATCCTTTTCCTAAATCCAACATTACGGTTATGTTTCTATTACCTGAAATAAGAAATCTTTCTGAAGGGTCGATGCCAAATTCGATGCGAGTATGAGAATTTACATGTCCTTCATATTTCTGTACAGCGACTCCTCTCTTAACCATGCGTTGATCGAATAGCTTAATCTAAGAAAAAGCGAAAAGTATGTCTCTTTAGATATCGATCGAAATACTATTGGAAAATCTCTTAGTAAGCATTATGCAGAAGCTAGAGCTTGTATCAGTACTCACCGTTCCATCCATGGAGCTTGCCATTAAGTACTGATCATAAGTTTCCAGTGTCTTCAGGCTAGGGAAATAGCGAATTATAGAGTCAGGAAAAACAAAGAGTTATAGAGAATTTTCATATATGGTTGAAGTCGTTTACCAACCATGTAAGAGATGTAGGCATATAGATTACACGAGACGGATTTATGTTTCCTCTAAGCTGAAAAAGTAAACAATTAGAGAAAACTATTAGCAGACTGTTGTGAGGGAAAGAGATGAAAACTTGTGACCACAAACAAAGTCGTTATATATCTTAGAAGTACCTCGAAGAATTTATCACGGTTTTTACTATTTTGACCGGTTGGTATGTTGTGTCTAGTGAGGCTTGGGAAAGGTCTCCCTGGTCTCTCACGTACATCAACCGACACAATGGCTCCATTTCTGAGCCCGCATTGAACAATGTTTCCCTGGTGGAAACAGCATGAACACATGTATCCTTCAGTAAAAACGAACATATAGCAACCAGCAGTTGAGAAACAGTAATGAGAATTAACTGATCAACAGAACTTTTACCGATTGATGAAACTGTAGCGCTAATACATCGCTTTTGCTTCGGAGAAAGTATGAACCTGCTCCTGTTTCCAAATCAACCAAAGCTGCTCCTAGGTCGGTACCTATAATATATCAAAATCCTTATATAAGTGCCAATATGATAGTATCATATCTGTCTTTCCTTCTACCGTTTAGTTTGCTTTCTTATTATAACACCAAAAGTAAGAAAGAAGAAGGTACCAATAGCTGCATGACTCCCACTTGTACTGCAATCAGCTGTCCAAATGGTACACTTAGAGGAAACATTCCCTTGGAGGCTTCGTGGAGAGACCATATACGGTTCCTCAGCAAGATTCAAGAAAAAGATTGATCCACAGCCAGTTGATCCCAGAGTAGTTATCCTGTTTTCTAGTGTCAAGGTTTTTAACAAAATGGGAGATCAAGAGAGGAAAGCAAAAAGAGAAGAAGACACACACATTCAAAGGATACAATGCCCGTTTCACACTCTGGAAGATTTCAGATTCATCCTGTTTCCCAATCAACTGAATAGAAGAGATACTAGATAACGCATGTAATCGAGAGCGTGCAGGTTTCCATAAGAGTCTAGGTGGTTTCACTAACTCTGCATCTTTTACTTTGCGAGGAAGAAGACAATCTGGATCGCACTCGATTCCACCATCAAAATCTTGAGCTTCAGACTCGTCAAAGAGTACATTTCCAGCTTCGGAAACTCTCAGTACGCTGCAAGAACAAACTTCCAAAGCATATATAGGTTGGTATGCAAAATAACAGCTACGACTAAACACTCAATGTACAGTCTTAAACATTGATAAAACCTAATGAGTCATATAACATACCTCAAGCAGCCTTCTGTACTGCCTGCTATTAAGATGTTCCTTGGAGTCAAGCCTGCAGATGTTTGTACATCAGTCTGAAACTTTTTCAAAGCAGCATCGCCTAGGTGTTCCGTCGATCCATATCTCCATACCTAAGCATCATCAATCACCATTGCACAAAAACACACAAAGAAGACTGTTTCATATCTATCTTCTTGTAATCTTAATAAGAAAACAGAAATGTTAAGAGTTTTGGGTGGTAAATACCACAGGATTAGAGGCTTGTGTCTTTTGGATCTCCTCCTTGAAGTTAGACTTCTTCTTATTGAGACGAATCACATTGCCACTTAGCTCTCGTGTATAAAGTAGCTTCAATGCTTTTAGTTTCGTTCTCTTCTGATAATTAGGTTCCTGGTAATAAGCGATTTAACATTACAAGCCAGAATACGAGCTAAAGAAGCTGAAAACTTTCACTGACTCTGCAAAATTCGAACTTTGCAGAAATTCGAAAAAAAAGTCCAAATTTTTAAGTAAAGCTAGTATTAACCGACCTGTACAGGCACTGGGTCGGCTTTTTTTCGTTTCGTTCTTGAAGAAGTAACAGATTTTGAACCAGGGATAGGGCCTTTAATGGGGAAGTATCTGTTCTTCTCCTCGTCGTAATAAAACCCAGGAAGTTCTGAAATCAAATTAAAAAAAAAAAAAAAAAAAAAAAATTCCAACATCAATCCCAGATACGCAATCGAAAATTGAAAAGTTTATCGAGGAAGATGATTCAATGACCTGGTCTCATATTGTCTCCTAGGCAACGCAACACTGTTCTCTGTTTTTCTTCTCAGACTCCAATAAAAGACTAACATGCGCATTATAAATAGCTTTAGGTTTCGTTAAACACGAAGGAGCTAATGTGAACTAAACCGGAAACGTATTTTATTCAATTTTGGTTTAAATTCAAACCGGACCGTTTATGATCCAGTTTACAGTAGTAAAAACTAAAATACAACTTCAACAACATTTTTTTATTGAACTCTCTACACAAAGCTTCTTTAGTTCTTGTGCTGCAATCTCCCACTCTCAGCACCAGCAAAAGGATCGACGATAACATTAACCACCGCCGGTTTTCTCGCAGCGAACGACTCAGAGAGAGCCGATTTCAGCTCATCGGGTGTTTCCACAACATACCCTTTGCCTCCAAAGGCTTCAATAAGCTTGTGATAGCCTGCATTTGGCACAAACGATGTCGGTGCTGGATCTTCTTTATGAGGACCTGAGATCTCTTCAGGACTCCTCCTATCACCACCATAGACACCACCATTGTTGAACACTATAACCACCACAGCAAGATTGTACCGAACCAATGTCTGCATCAATAAAATACGATTAGACAAAGACAATTTCCATATTTATGGAAACGTTTTACTATATACCTCAACTTCCATGGCGCTGAATCCAAAACCAGAGTCTCCTTCAACAGCGACAACAAGACGATCAGGAGAAGCAACAGCAGCAGCGATACAATAACCTAAACCAACACCCATTGTTCCCCAAGTTCCTGCATCAAGCCTCGTCCTCGGCTCTTTCTGCACCAAAACCGATCTTCCAACATCCATCGTATTAGCTCCTTCTGATACCACAACAGGACTCTTTCCTTCCACCGCCGAAATCGCGTCTCTGATGATCCTCATCGGAGTCAAGAAATTGAAAGGAACAACATCTTTACCAAGCTGTGCCTCCATTTTCTCGCCGTTCTCTTTCGCTTTCTTTGAAATCGAATCCACCCATGGATTAGTCTTCCCTAGGCAAAAAGGATCGTCTTTTATCTCTCTGTTTAACAATCCAATCACTCTCTTTGCATCTCCGGCAATCCCCAAGTGAGGTTTCCTCAGCTCAATCTCTTCCTCAGAGACATCTACAAGTATGAATTTCACTTCTTTAGACCATTTCGGTGACTCTCCGAAATGGAGAAGCCAGTTAAGCCTAGCTCCAACCACCAAAGCGACGTCGCATTTCCCAATCGCAAGCGACCTCGCCGCCGTCGCTGAGAGCTCGTGTGAGTCCGGTAACAAACCTTTACCCATCGGAGTTGGGAGGAAAGGTATTCCGGTGAGTTCCACTAGCTTCTTCAGCTCGTCCTCCGCTCGCGAATACGCCGCTCCTTTGCCGAACACGATCAGTGGCCTCTCCGCTTTCCTCAGCAGCGAAACCGCCGATTCGATCTCCGATCTCGGAGTTTCCCGAATTGGTTCGCGTTTACGAGATTTCTCGACGTCAGCCACCAGATTCTCCGCCACTGATTCCGAGATCTTCTGGCGCAATACATCAGACGGGAGATCCAGATAACACCCGCCGGGTCGACCCGCGATCGCTCGATCCAGAACCCTAGCGACGCAATCGGGGATTTCACGAACGTCTTTCGCTTTCTCCGATAGTTTAGAGAAAGCTTTCACCGCCTCGACCTGATCAAGCTCCTGGAAATCTCCACGGCCGGCGTCTCTCTGATCGCAGGAACCGGAGATCATCACCATCGGCCATGTGTTAGCCCAAGCGTTGGAGAGACCCGCGAGCCCGTGAACGCAGCCCGGACCCGAAACCGTGAGGAGGATTCCGGGTCGACCCGTGAGGTAACCGTAGGCGGAGGCGGCGTATCCGGCGGATTGCTCGTTGTGGAAGGCGATGAAGCGTATGCCAAGAGCCATGGCTCGGCTAGCTAGAGACGTGACGGGGATGCCCACGACGCCGAACATGTGGGTGACGCCGAGACGAGCTAGTGACTTGGCCACGAGAGTGTTGCCATCGATTGACGGTGGAGGGGTTGCTTCTGCTGCTGAATTATCCGCCATGTTTACTGATCGATCTTTCTTTGATTGCTCAAGTTTCAGCTTCACTTACCACTTACTTATATAGGCATTTGATTTGGTTTTTACATTCTTTTGTCTACTAATTATGTGATTAATAGTGTGTTTTACAGTTATTGATATTTTATATATTTTCTTTATTTAAAAATAACTCTAGGAAATTCTGTTATGTTTTGTCTTTCACTATTTTGTGTCCTATAAATTTTTAATTTTAGTAAGTTTGTTAAATAAATCATTATCTATACTTCTATAGCATTAGCAGATTAACAAAATGACCACCAAACTATTCATTCACTACATAAAGTTATGCTTGTACATACAATACGAATGTGTTGTGATCCAAATTATATAAATACTTTTTGGTCACCAGCGAGTCCTCCTTCACCTAATATTCTCAATAACTGAATTTTGATGAAATGGTTTGGTTTTGTACAAGTGGCCTTGTCTAGTTCTGTTTGGTCCGGTGCAGATTTTTATTAAGACAGTGTTTTAATGACACTTTCGTCCCATCCTCATTAGACTATCCTTCTTGACTTGATGTCTGCCATCAGAAATTCAGAATTGTGGTAAGTAAAGAAAGACAATACAAAATTGCATTTGTGTTTCTACAAAAGGTGGTGGATTTTGACCACGACACAACTAGAGCCGTTCCAAGATTTCTCATGATCAGAAAATATATTATACTGTTTATACATACCCGCGCGATTCCATAACCGATTGAGCTAACAAATTTTCAAACTTTTTGTTTTGTAAAATATCTACATGGATCAACTTTCGGATATTCTTATAGTTTATTGTTTTTCCATAGATCTACTTAACTACTTTCAAATACGGTTTTGAAATGTCAACATCAAATCATTTCTATCGAATAAATTTGGACTCGATTAATTTAACAAAGAAAACATAAGAGCTTGACAAAAATAAAAATAAATAAACAGCAACGTGTGGAACCATAAAGAATCAAACATTTGTAATGGCACGCACGTCCTCTTTCGAAATTGTCCTCACGTATTCATACGCGCAAGCATTTATAGAAACCAATGTTAAGTTCCGTTCTGAGTTGCAAAATCGATATTCGTTTTGAGTCTCTTGTAACAAAAGATGGCAAGATCGCTCAAGAAATCAGCCAAGTTGAGTCTAAGACGAGTCCGGATCAACTCACCGTCGATTAGGTTCAAACCAGACTCGAGTTCCATAGAGAGAGACCAAAGAATCGAGTTTCTAGGCGAAAATGGAGATGATGCCGGATCAGGAGGAGAAGAAAACAAAGGCGCAAGCAGCGAAAGCGAAGAGACTGAAGACAAAGAAGAAGAAAAAACAGTCAAAGTAATATTAGAAGAAGAAGAGGAGAAAGAGCAAGATGATGGCAAGACCTTTGACAACGGAGGAGTAGAAGGAAGAAAAGAGGCGGTGGTAGCGGTTGAGACGGTTAAGGAGGAGGTGGCGGAAGGCGGGAACAGAGTAATGGTGGTGGTGGATAAAGCGCTTGCGTCTACCGGAGCTTTAGAATGGGCTATAACACATACTCTACAACCACAAGACACTCTTTTTCTCTTATACTTTGCAAAACCCTTTAGAAAAGGTTTTGCTTCTGCCTTTCCTCTCCTCTTTTGTTTAAGTTTCTGTTTCTTAAGCATAAGATAAGCAACACATAAGTAAATTATAAGCAAAACATAAGAAAATGAAAAAAAAAATCATTCTATTTTTTTAATACATACTTTTAAAATTATTCTCTGAAGATTTATGTTACTTCATTTGATTTCATCATAGTTGTTAACTTTGTATTTATCCGGCCCAAACTAAATGTATAAACCGGATTCGACCGCATATATAAATTAGATAGATTTGTATCACAATTTGTTGATCCCTTCTGATTTTCTTGATATATAATGTTTAGGAATATATATATATATATCAAGCTCGTCTTTGCAGCAATCGGAATTAGCACCGTTCGACACATTGCATGCGAGAAAATTGCAACGGCGCCGGTGAGCACATTCACATTTGGAACAGCGACATATCCCCTTACTACATTTTTTTTTAAATGACATTTTACATTGATACTTTAACGTATCCAAACAATTAATTAACGGTAGAAGAACATGCAACCTTCGTTTTGTGAAGAGTACGGCTGATCAGAGCCGTGCCTAATGAACAAAAAAAAAGAAGCTTTGGCCTACAACATCAGTTATAGGAATAGGATAAAATGACCACATCATTTTCAAGTCTCTTTTCCACATATTTAAATCATTTTTATTTACTATTTACTTTCGTTTTTTATTCTACCAATTTTCTATTTAGCTATTCAATTTTTCTTTTATATTATCTTCTTTCATCAAAAAAAAATTAAAATATATGATAATTTTCTTAATAAATAACATATTTTACTCAAGTTTTTATTTAAAAAAAAAATTATACTGATCACAAAATAATCAAAAATCTGTCTTTCTTTTAACTTGTTGTCATCATTATATTGTATAAGTATCATATATTTGGATATAATAACAAATTTTAAGTTAGATAATAGCCAAAGAGTTTTTTAGCATGCATGGAACGTAACATGGCAGAACAATTAACTTATGGCTTGATCCTTGGCTATCACTAGCCTCACCAGTGACTCAAGTAGGGCCAACCACTAAGGATACAATTAACTGTGGAATGTTGACCTTTTACTGTTTTTATTTTTCCTTTAAGAGAGGCCAAACCTGAAAACAGAAAAGAAAAAAAAAAGAAAAAAAAGAACAAATCTTAATTTGAAATTTTATAATGTTTCATTGATTTGAAGTTGTGTTCAAAATATTTTTAATCGTTCATCAGGCGGTCGAGCCAAGATTAACGATTATTGATAAAATGGAGATTAATCGGGAATTAATCGGGGAAGAAATTTTACCACATGTTGTATATTTTAGAAATATTTTCATATATATATAACTATATAAGTAATAAATTTCAAAAAATTAGATACTGTTTTTTCCAAATAGGCTGAAATCATGAAAAATATTTGTAGTTCTGGTTCAAACAATTTTTTCTAAGTAGGCTTCTCTATCAATTTCTCTTAAAAATTAGATATGTGTTACAATTTCCAAAATAAACATGATGAAGTTATCTCAAATAGGCCAAAATTATGAAAAGAATTTGCATTATGGCCCAAACAATTTATAATATTACATTTTTTTTTTAAAAAAAATCGACTTTACTCAGTCAACGCAAGTTGACTATACATTACAAAGGATTAATACTTATCGCCATGGTAGCATACCGATGAGAGATTTTTCTACCGATTAATCGGCACATCGGCCGATTTTTTGAACAGATTTTGAAGAAAGCACCCAAAACTTAAAACAGAAAAAGAACTCCAAACCTTCAAATGCATACAAAAAAGAAAAAACTTCAAATGCATACGATGCTGAGGAGAAGCATTAGAAAATGGAAAATGTAGGCCAAAAAGCTCCGTTGCCGGGAATCGAACCCGTCTCCTGGGTGAAAGCCAGATATCCTAACCGCTGGACGACAACGGATTTTTGTAAACTTCGGCGTGAATATCAAATTTGATTGCATCGGACGGAGGACACAAATTTCATGGAAAGACCAATTTATTGGATTTATTTGAATTATTAATTAGAGCTATCAGATTTTCGTTAGATTTTATGTTATTCTAATTATGTCTATACGAAAGGCCCAGTCTCATTCTCATTCCCAAGCCCGTGGATCACTTTCTCAAGTTAAAATCACATTACTATAATCTAAAAATATATGCGATCGAGAAGATTGTAACCTAGAATATTACAAAGATGGATTTATGTAAATTTGTAGTTTGTTTTTATGTTTTTGTAAATTTTTTCGTTTGCTTCTCCTTTGTATCTGTATATTTGTTTTGTAAAGAGTTATATGTAAAACTTTAAATCTAGATAACTTAATACTATGTTTTATGTGATTTCTTTCTCTTGTCTTTGTTCATTTGTTTTTATCGAGTTGTATGTATATGAACTGTGTTAATCAACAAAATATAATATTCTATGTTTGGTCGGAGTCTAGTAAAAGAGGTCGTGAGTCGTGACTATTCAGGGCTCTTAAATTCTGTAACATATAGTAAAATGTAAGCATGTCTCAAATGAAAAGGACAGAATTACAGATTTCAAAAAGCTTTTGAGTTCTGTTTTTACGTAACATATTTCTGACGTCATTGATAGTAGACACATGAGAAGTGAATATGTAATTTGTAGATGACCTCCCTACAATTCTCGAGCATTGCACTTTTTCAGCTTTCATATTTTTTAAAAAGGTAATTTTACATTTATCGAAGCTCATAAGTCATAATTAACTTCTTGGTATAAGGAAAAGCAAGAAGGACATGAGCCTTTAATATTTGGTTTTCCTTATCACACTATTTAATGCGTCTTAATTTCGGAATTCGGACAATGAATGTGACAATGAAATTTGGATTTGAAAGGTCAAAATCACTTAATGTCCCCATGCCCAATTGACAATCACCATGGTACAACTCGTATTACTGTCTAATAAATTTGTGAATATGTGCTGTAAAACTAAATATACCAAATGTTTTGAAATGTTTTAAGATTGTTCCCGCAAAGCATTTACAATTTAAAATCGAATTAAGCTAAATGGAGTGTGTCGGTATTGGTTGCATGTGAACTAGTGATTATTAATTAGCCAAAAAAGAAATAATAAACTTGCATGGCAAACATTAGGTATCACTTAACATTTGTTTATGTTGATTGTCTAGAATATTGGAAGTGTTACATTGCTAAATGAAACATGAACAGAAAAAATACTACTAATATTTAAGCTACGTAACTATGAACTATGAAGAGAAGAAATAAAGACGTGGGAAAAAAAAAATTAAATAAAATTGCTCAATCAGCTTCGACACTTTACACATCATAGTTTCCCCTTACAACTAAGCATTGCATCAAATGCATCTTCCACGTTTCTTGCTTTCATGTATCTTTTCCACTTCAACAATGTAGCTAAACCACATACTAATTTTATTTTCTTTTTTTTTAAGGAAACTTCAAGTAGTAAAATTAAAATCCAGACCATAACAAAAGAGCAAAAACAAAAACATTAAAGGCTTAAAGCACATAAATAATTAAGAAAATAGAGCAAAAATTTCTTAAAAGTATCTAAATCATTAAATTAAAAAAAAAAGCTACAAAAGAAAGAAACAAAAGATTAAAACTTTATCTGACATAATCATAAGTTATATAAAAATATTACAACCTAAAACCATAAGCTAAACTTCCACGTGTAAGTGAAAGTTCTAAGGACATTTTGGTAATTGTTCCGATCACATTACTGAACAACCGTTTGGATTCTCATCGCTAAATAACTCAAACGAATCGGACGGTCGAGATGGATAAGGGTTTTGATCGGACGGTAGATATCCTGGGTGCATATACGCGTACGAATACGGTGGCGGAGGCGTATAATACGACGCAGCGTCTACGCTCAAAGGAGGTTGCGCAACGTTATAACTTACGCCGTACATCACTTGCGGCGCATAATAGTTTGGTGGCGGATAAGGATACGCATCGTGACGTGGCGGATTGTTGTTGGTTAGAATTTGATGCTGACCATCGTTTTGACTGAATGGACGGTCGTGATCTGCTTCAGGAGTAGTAATGGGTGGAGGAAGTGATTGACTACGGACAGGTCCACCGTTAGGATTGTTAGCAATAGTGTTCACTTTTTGCCCCTTCTTTTTCTTCTTTTTACCAATATTGCCACTGCTCTCTTCAGCTTTCTTCTCTCCCGCCGCCGCCGCCGCCGTTGCCGGTGTCGTAGTTTCAGCCGGTAAAGGTGATGGAGAATCTACCGGAACAGAATCTTTCTTCTTGATAACGTCTTCTTTCTCTTCTTTCACCGGATCAGAAGTTTTACCACCGTCGCCGGAACCACACTCTCCGGCGGTGTCTGATTTTTCAGATTCCGGTTTACCAGAATCGGAAGAGGTAGCTGCATCGGTTATTTCCGGTTTTTCTTCTTTCTTCTTCTTTTTCTTCTCTTTCGGGTCTACGCCTACGGATTTGTTCTCTTTCGGGTCAACGGGTTTGTTCACTACCGGGTCGAGTATCTCCGGCAACAAATCGGCGTTTTTACCAGCCTTGAGAAGCTTCCTTAACAGAATCTCCGGTGCGGCGATTCCCATCACCGTTACCTTATTCTGCTTCACATCAATGTCCACTCTATAAACACCTACAAACAAAATTACTCGTTAAATATTAAATTAACCATAATTACCAAATTTAGCTACTCACGCAACCAAAATTAGTCATGTGAAAATAAACTAAATTTTCCCAATTATAAATACGTTATTTTAGAGAAAATTATAAGTAATAATTTCAAACGTGAAATTGATGTACATACACTAACCATAAAATAAATTAAAAAATGAAGTAAAACCATTTATATAAAAATTTGAAACCCAAAAAAAAAAAAGTTGAAAGAGTTTATGTATTTGTGTGTACCTTCAATGGTGGTAAGAATTTTTTTCACTTTTTTCTTGCAGCCTTCACAGTGAATTGAAACTCTCAAGTTGCATGTCTGCGAGTACACAAATGAGTTTGATTCAAAAATAAAAATTTAAATACTTGTGGAAAATATATGAATGGGTTTGTTGAGAT